CGAACTCCTCAGCCTTATCTTCGTCAGATGCTGCCCAGGAGCCATCATCTCGTCGGAGGGGATGGGAAATGCGGTGAGGATTTAAAATTTTGGTAGTGGTTTTCCAAAGGGAATTGTCGCGAGAAGAAAGGGAGGATAGGTAGGAGTTGAAGGAATGTGATCTGAAGGTGGCTAATTCCAGTTTTAATTTTTTGCAGTAATAATTATAGGAGCAGCGGTCGGTAGGATGTCGGGTACGTTGCCACAATAATCTGGCACGGCGTTTGGTTTGGATTAGGTCAAGGAGGTGTTGGGGTAGAATGGTCTTTTTAGGAATTCTGGAGGAGTCTTTTGGGAAGGAAGCAGTCCAGGCGGCTTGTTGGATTGTGGTAGTAAAGGAATTTACGGCACTATCAAGGTCATCGGGAGTTTTGAGGGATATGTTAAGATCAATTTTATCGGAGATGATTTGGCGGAAAAGGTCCCAGTTAACTGGGCCCCTAATAAATGACGGTGGAGAAGGTTTGGGAACGGGTTCAAGTGAAACATTAAGGATTAGAGGACTATGGTCAGAGGAAAGTTCATTTAGACGTGTAATGGAACAATTGAGGGGACTTAAGCCGCTGTGGATAAAGAAATCAAGAAGATCAGGATTACGGTTGGGATCTGTAGGCCTGTAGGTAGGAGAGTTGGGGGAAAGGAGGTGAAAATGTTGGGAATTGAGTGCAGACAGCAGGGTTCGGCCACGAGTATTCGTGGTTCTGGAAACCCATTGTTGATGTTTGGCATTTAGGTCTGCACCCAAGATGAAGTGATGTCCTAAGGAGTCGAGGAGAGAACGGAATTGGGCATTGGATATGGATCGGTTAGGATGGCAATACGCTGATGCAAGGGTAACCGGAAAGGAAAAGGTTTTTATCACGATAGCGGTGGACTGTAGGAAATCATGTGTAGGTAACGGGAGTAGGTGATGGGAGAGGGATTGGTGTACAATGACAGCAGTACCGGCATGTGCTTTTCCGTCAGGGTGGTCAGTACGATGTGTCAGGTATTGTGGTATTTTGAAGTGCTGTTTAGTGGTTAGTCGAGTTTCAGTAATTAGTGCCACGTCAATATTTTTGTCAAGTAATAATGTAGTTAGTTCGTTTGTATGATTCCTAACACCATTCGCATTCCAAAGGAGAATGGATAAAGGTTTATTGGAAGTCATTTAAGGATTTTTCGCGGGAGGGATAAAATGTGATACAAAATTGGTGAGAAGAGATATCAAAGGAGTAACAAGGGATCTGAATTCGGAGAGGAAAGATGTAAGTAAACTGGTGAGATCTGTGGTATTTGAGGGAGGAGGAATGCGGGGAATTTGGTGTTGATAAAACTGTTGATTAGGTGAAGTTTGATTAGGATGTTGAGGGTGGGGTTGAGAATTTTGAGGTATGTGTTGTTGTTGCGGCAGGGTCTCACAATAAGTAACATCATTCTTACCTCCTAATAAGTGTGCAAAAGACACCGTTGGGTCAATTTTTTTTTAAGGTCCTCTTCTTGATGCGTTAGGTTCTCTTCTTGATGCCTCTGCTTCTTCTTGGGTCCGGGATTTTTGATATCTTGATTTAATATTCTTGTAGATCTGACAGCCTTTGTAGTTCGCTGGATGTCCTTCAAGGCACAATGCACAAACTGCAGGATCCCGTTTCGGTTTTGTGCACTCCCCGGATTTGTGCTGCTCTCCACATTTCACACAGCGCGGCAGATGATGGCAGTAAGTCCTGGTATGGCCATATGCCTGGCAATTGTGACACTGTACGATTTCCCTCTTAGGATATGGCTTCTCTACTATAACACTTGTGTAGTATATTCTTCTTATTTCGTATATTTTTTCGATCCTTTGATTTGGCTCCAAATCTACGAAAAATAAGGGTAGAGGAACTTTTACTCCTGGCTGTTCTTTACTCTCCTTCTGTACATTTGTAATCTGGCGCACTATAAAACCTAAAGTTTTCAATTCTTCTTCTATTGCTTCGGTTGGTGTTGAGGGGTGTAGATTTCTTATGACTACCCTCAAAGCTCGATCTTGCCGTAATTGGTACGTATGAAAATCCGCGTTGGTTTCCGTTAGATACTTCACAATTTTTCTGTAGGTTTCAGCTGTATCTGGTGATATCTTCGTGTCCTTTGTTCTGCTTAGACATGAATAGCTTCCAGAGCCTGTTATTTTGTTCAGTTGTGAGCATAGTAACTGAAAATTGTTTATGTTTTTAACGAATATGGATGGAGGTCGGGGATCTCTTGGTATTGAAGCGGATTCCATCACTTCTTTATCATTCTGAAGCACCTGGTAGGGGTTAGGGGTGAAAAACGGAGATTATTCGGTTATCTCTTGTGAAGATGTACCTGGTTGATGCTGAAGTTCTTCAATTGTTGGTTTTGATGATGTTCCTGGCTGGGTTTCATTTTCTCTGGAGCTAATAGGCGTTACTGCAGGTGTTTGACGACATTGACGAGACTTTTGTTTGACAGGCGAAGAACAAGGTGTTGAGCCTAACGGCCGAATTCTCTTGATAGAAGCTCTACTAGACATGGCCTGATTGTGATATCGCATATAAGGGGAAAAAAAATGAAAAAAAAAATAAATAAAATAAAAATAACCCTATAATTTATAACAAACAATAAATATCAATTGTTGTTATGTACTCTTGACTTGTTTTGAATAAATAATCTCAAAGATTTCACTGGAAAATAAGCAAATTCTGAGAGACGATGTAGAAACACGTCCTTTCGCATCGAAAATGATAGTAAATTTTATTTTCATTCCTAAAGAATAATTAAGGCATTTTGAATTATATATATTTTTAAAATTTTCTTAATAATGAAGTATATTTGTGTATTTTCAAATATGAAGTATTTGTCCCTTCACTTTGATGTCATTACCAAAAAACATAACATCAGATATTTAAGTGTTGAAAAGAGGGAACAGTGGGGTAATTTCTTCAGAGTGTTGTACTAGCCAGGGGGTTAAAGGATACCCACCAGCGGAGAGACCGAACAGTTGGGAAGCCTCCCTCTACGCATCCTTTTCTTATACAATGAGCATGTTCCTTTATTGTTGTCATTACCATCGCTTATATTATCTCGCTGCCTGATCAAATTATTTCATTTATCATAATTCATGGTTGACTACGATTTGTAGCAAGTCAGTTGGAAAAAATAAAATTATAATACTAATTACACAGCGGTCTTGCCCGAATAAAATTCGTGAAAACGTAATTATCCAGTTGAAAACTCGTTGCATTCCCACAACCGAATTATTAGCTTTAGTTAGTTTAATTACTGAGCAAAAATCACTTTTGATCTTGGCCATCTGCTCAGATAAAGCTGAGCGGCATTACAAGATGTAGGTATTTAGAACATTGTATTTTAATGCCGTCAAAATTATTAAAATTGTATCATCAAAATAATCTGAGAATCACCCATAAAGCATATGTTTATAACCTTAAATACATTTACTGTAGCTTAATAACTCTAGATCTGATATTTAAATAATTAGGTATATACGTTCTTTTATTCCGAAAAATCATCATCTAACCTTTTAGAATATTAAAATAAGTGAATTTGATGAGTTTTCCCTTTGTGAAATCTAAACATTATCCACTTAAAATTATTGTGACAATTTTGACCTATCTATGGCAGGCAATGAAAATCATTTCATTTTAGTAAACTCTGCAATGGAAAATTAAAGATTAATAACTGATAGGCGTATAATCCATAATCATTTATAGGTTGAATAGAGATATAGTTTCAAATCTCTCTAGGCATATATGTATAGCTCAGAGACTGGAGTTAGGTGGTTTACTAAAACCGATGGAGTACCAAGGTTCTTATTGTCTATTGTTATAATTATAGAATTATTAATATAATTAATAGAGTTTTTGCTATTTCAGTGGTCTTAATAATTTGTTAGCTGTAAGCTTTAAGCTATAGCTCCGTTAAAAGTGCACTTAAAAGACGTTACAATTTCTCAACATTGACAGAAAATAGTTTCAATTCAAAGTAGAGGGGTAAGTGAAAGTTGTGTGTTGCAAGCACCAGAGTTTTTATTGTTGAAATAAATAAATTATATTAGGTATTAAGTTATTAATATACAGGTAAGATTTTCATCTAGTCCGTTTTTCTTACAGCTTTCCTGATTAAATTTTCTAGATAATTAGCAACCCCGCTGGTTACTGCAGCTGATTTCTGTATTTGTTCTTAGCAGAGAGTTCAAAGAACATTAGAGTAAGACCTCGGCAATCGTTGGCGCTAGATACTTTCCCAATAGAAGAAGGTAATTCCAGTATCCTTTAAGTAATAACTAATTTTTTGAAAATACGAAATTTTAGAATTTATTAAGAAATAACTTATTTCCGAACGTATTTTATTCATGTCCACAAATTACTCAACAGACAATTATTTTCAGAATTCAGCACAAACTCCGAAAATATTTTTAATGATATATAACAAGTTAAAAAATTATTTCAGTACAATCGGGCTTTTTATTTATACTTTATTAAAAATCGTGAAAACCAACATTTTTGTTCTTGCTTAAGCTGAAATATGTGAGTTAACTATGTTGCTCTTTAAAAGCACAAGTAATATATATTATCAAAAAAATTTGAATATAAGAGTTTTATCGTTGTGGCGGAATGACAAAAACCAGCTTTGAAAAATAATATTGAAAGATGTCACATATCAGGTATGAAAAGGAGATTAAAATATACAAAACATTTTTAAAAAAGTAAAAATATGTATTAAACACTACGTACAAAATATGATATATACATTCAACAATAACAAGAAAACAAATTGTAAATTCATTCCAGTTTGTAGAAAATGGATTGACTTAGAACTGCTTTCAACCTAAAAAAAAAAATTGAAAATAGTTACTTGTGAAGGAAAAAGTATAGGCAAATATGAGAATACTGCATAAGTTCCTATAACTTACTTATTAAAATTAATTATCATTAATATTACCTTGAAAACAAAACAATTTAATGCCCCAGGGCAGCATGAGCGGCGGCTTTGTGTGCGAGGAAAGAACTTCCCAGCCCAGAGCTGACGCCACCTGCATAGAGTCCAGAGCTGAAGCCACTACCATAATGTCCTGAACTAACACCACCGCCGTAGAGTCCGCTGCTGTACAGGCCGCCGCCGTACAAGCTGGATCCTCCAGAGATGACTCCAGATCCTAATCCATAGCCGGAGCCTAATCCATAGCCGGAGCCTAATCCATAGCCGGAGCCGAGACCATAGCCCGAACCAAGACCGATTCCGGAACCAAGGCCGATGCCGGAACCAAGGCCAATGCCGGAACCAAGGCCAATGCCGGAACCAACAGCTAAAAATATTATCTTCGTATAATTAATGTTCATATATATAATTTAAAATATTATTGGTATTATACTTAAAGTAACTCTTACCGATAGGTGTGGCTCCAACTGAAACAGGTACTGGCTGTGATACAGGAACAGGAACGTTAGTGACGACTGGTACTGGAACAGGAGATGGTACTGGAACTGGAACTGGTCTAGATACTGGAACTGAAACTGGATGTGGAACTGGAACGGGTACAGGCCTTACGATTGGTACTGGGTAAGGTCTTTCCACAGGAACAGGAACAGGGCGGCTGACTGGAACAGGTACTGGCCTATCGACTGGTACTGGAACTGGGTGGGAAACTGGAACAGGAACTGGACGGTCGACAGGTACACTCACAGGATGAGGCACCGGATGAACACTGGTAACGTGTCTGACTCCTCCGCCGTATCCAAGTCCAGAACCCAAACCAAGACCTGTACCTAAACCTATTCCAGAACCTAAACCAATGCCTGAACCCAAACCAATTCCAGAACCCAGTCCAATGCCAGAACTCAAGCCTATTCCTGAACCGATGCCAAGACCCGAAGTTAGTCCTACTCCTGAACCAATTCCAGAGAAGCCTATTCCTGATCCATATCCAGCTCCAAGGCCAGATCCGTACCCATATCCACTTCCATAGTCTCCGTAGCTTCCGCCATACCCATAACTACTACCATAGAGGCCTGATCCCAAACCTATTCCACCACCAAGAACTCCTCTTTTTTCTGGCTGCTTCTTCTGTTCTACTTCTGCCAAAGTACTGGCAATGAAGCCGAAAATGAAGAGTAAATTCTGTAAAAATTACATTACATTATTATTTTTTTATGTTATATGTTTTTTTTATTATGTTAAATGTTTTTATATTATGTTAAATTTTTTGTTTATCTTGCAAATTACAAAATCTATGATCCGGAAATTAAATATACAATACAATTTGAAAATTCTTCGGTTTGCTATATAATGTGGTCAAGCAACTTAAGTTTTTCTAAAACATTATTTATGAATATTTTTTATAAATAAAATTTTTGTAAATGAATTGATTGGAATATATTTATGATAACAGAAAAGAAAGGAAATTAAAGGTTTGTAATAAATTATGTTAGTTATTGTTGAATTAAACACAGCTATCAACAGAATATTAAATCACATAAATTTTTACACTACTGGTGGTGAAGCTAACTTATTTAACCTAAACTTAATATTAGATTAAAGCTCATTAAAGGAGTTTCTCTAAATGTAAGTTAACTTTAGTCTGATGAAAGAGTGATGAAATAAATTGCGACTAATTCATGATTTTATAAGAAAACTGAACTTCACACATTTAAATAGCTTATGAGCCCTCTTTAAATGGTTTTTACAAAGACAACTTTACTTTATCTTTAAGAAAATGTTGTCTAGTTTTGATATAAACCGTATTATATGAATTAATTTTTTTTTCAGTAACTTTAATTCAAGATAAAACGGGACTTTTTTAAAAAAATTACAAACATTTCAATTTCGTGCTTATCTGAGAAAAATCGAACTATAGGTTAAGTTAACTTGTTTGTAGCTCTTCAGGTCTACTTTTAAAATATTTCCGTTTACATAAGTCGCACATTGTATAGATTTGTACATATTTGAGTAATTTAAATGAGATTATGATCCTTTAGACTTTGATATTTTATAAAATAAAAATATATGAAATAAAATAAATAATAAATAAATTAATAGAAGAAATATTTTAAAATTTATAAGCGATGTTAGCCAAGAAGACCCCTTACCAATCGGTTCATGATGATCGTGGATGAAGTTGTCCCAACGTCTGATGTCCGAGCAACCAATTTGACTTTATATATATCTGGGCTGGGTCCTGACCTTTTGCGAGCCTCCCCCTCTTGTTGACCATCCTCCACTTACATAAAGCTAACAGGTAATTATTACATAAAAAAATCATTTTATTCTATTAATATTATTTAAATATAATTTTTATTTTAGCTATATTTACTTTTTACTTTCAGTTATCTATATATGAAATATATAGTAAGGAATGTATTACAATTCGTATCTGAGTTATCAACGGAAATACACGTTTTGTGGTCACCTGAATCTAAATATCCAATTCCCACAAAACCGTCTGTGTGTGAACTAGATCTAGACTGCTTAAAACCGACAAATTGTACGAAACTGAAAATGTATATTTAAGTTAAATATATGCCTTGGAACTTTTTCCTGAAAATCGGCTAACCGGAAGTTCCACTTGATATCATTGATTTTACACATTTTTATAATTTCCTCAAAATCGGCTCTAACGATTCTGATTAAACTCGGTGTATCAATGTATAATTTAGTGGTCTTTATCATCGTTTAAGTCATATCCACATTGACGTCGCTTAAATGCCCAATGTTCAAGATTCCTCTAAAATAACTTTAATTTGGTTTATTTTAAAAATAAATAACTATTCCTTATTCTCGTCAGTTACGAATAAAATCAAAATATAACTTTTTAAAGAATTTGATGATTGATTAAAAGAGAAAAAAAAGAAGAAAAATGTCGAACATGAATCTCCGGAAATATTAGTCAGAAATTATACGCATAATATAAAGTGGAGAATTTTAGAAAAAAAACTATATGTAATATGAAAAGTAAAAGGTAATGGAGAGTGACTAAAAAATTGCAAATAATAATTTCTGAAAACTAATATTATTTAACGTAAATCGCATGTTTCCAATGGAATTTATTGACTAAATGAAAAATTAAAAAATTTTGAGTTTGAAAAAAGTATATAAAATCCACCGAATCGAAGCAATTGCTTGAAAATAAGGTACGCACACCTGCGTAAATCTGGTGCAAACAATAACTTTCACTTACCGCTCAACTTTGAATAGAAATTATTTTCTGGCCATATATGGCTATTATGAAATTTTTAAATTGCATTTTAACTGACCTAAAGCTAAAAAATAACAGCTAACAAATCATAAATACCATTAAAATAACAAAAGTCATATTTATTTTATTATTGGTTGATTATGGAATGTACGATCCGTTCATTATGGATTGTACGACTATTAGTTATTAAACTGTTATAAACTTTTCCATTACAAAGTTTACAAAAATGGAATTAAGAGAAAGCCATTGTTTGTAATAAATAGGTCAAAAGTTGTCGCACTAATTGTAAGTGTATACTGTTGGAATATCACAAAAGGAAATTTCATCAAACTATTCACTAATTAAATTTTCTAGAACGCTACATGATAATTATTCGGAATAAACGGACGAAAGATACCTAAATATTTAATTTTAATATCAGACCTAGACTTATTAAACTACAGTAAATATATTTAAGTTTATAAACGTATCTATGAAATATTTTTATATTTCACACAAGTACAATGAAATAGTAGTGTATACTGTTGGAATATCACAAAGAGAGAATTCATCAAATTTTCCACTAATTTAATTTTCTAAAAAGTTACATGACAATATTTCGGAATAAACGGACTATTTAATTATTTAATTATAATAACTAATTAACTAATTATTTAATTATAATATCACAACTAGAATCATTAAACTACAGTGAATGTATTTTAATGATTCTATAAACATATGCTTTATACATCCATGAAATGATTTTATATTTTACTTCTTTCACAAAAGTACAATGAAATAGTTTTCTAAAAAAGTTCATTCCCTTGATTAGTTGGATTTTAAATACTTTTTTTCAATCTTAAAAGATTTTAAAATTTTACATTTAGTTAGTAAAATTCATTTAATATCCTTGAAAACATGTAATTTACGTTAAATATTATTAGTTTTCAAAACTTATTTATAATTTTACTGCCACTCTTCTACAGATTTCTATATTAGATATCGTTTTTATAAAATTCTCCGCTTTTCAACGATATATTATACGTATACCTTCTGAATAATATTTCCGGAGATACCTTTTTATTTCACCGTTGATATAAAGTGGCACTTTCGGTTAGCCAATTTTAAGGAAAAAGTTGCTGTCACATTTAAGGCATACACCTATCTTAAATACATAATATCAGTTTCGTATTTTTCGTTTTTGAGCTAGACTGTTAACATACACACACACTGACACACAAACCATTTTTCGGGACTTGGTTATTTGGACTCAAGGGATCTCAAAACCTGTATTTCCGTTGAGAACTCAGATTCAAAAATTTTCACTATCGCAATACTTATACTTACTATATATTACATATATAGGTAAGTGAAACTAAAAATATATGGATGTTTCAAACATGTTTATAACCTCAAATATATTCACTGTAGTTAATAACTCTAATTACATTTAAATAATTAGTCACCTATCTCCCATTTATTCCGAATTAAATTAGTGAAAAATTTGATGAATTCTCCCTTTGTGTTATTCCAACAGTATACACTACTATTTCATTGTACTTGTGTGAAAGAAGAAGTGAAATATAAAAATATTTCATAGATACGTTTATAAACTTAAATATATTTACTGTAGTTTAATAAGTCTAGATCTGATATTAAAATTAAATATTTAGGTATCTTTCGTCCGTTTATTCCGAATAATCATCATGTGACCTTTTAGAAAATTAAATTAGTGAATGATTTGATGAATTTTCCCTTTGCGAAATCTAAACATTATCCACTTAAAATTATTGTGACAATTTTGACCTATCTATGGCAGGCAATGAAAATCTCGTAATTCCATTGCAATGAAAAATAAAAGTTCCATAACTAATAGTGGTACAATCCGTAATAACTTAAAGGTTAAATATATAGACGAGGATGGGAATAAAAAAAAAAAGGTAAAAATTTACGGATGTACTTCAAATCACTTTAGGCATATATATCTGTAGTTATATGGTTACGGCCATAACTATGGCCATCTGGCCATATGGCAGATGGAGTTACGAGGTTTGTATTGCCTAATATAATAAATAGGGTTTTTGTTAATTAAATGGCCTTAATGAATTGTTACAGGTTCAAGGTTTAGCTCTGTTAAAAATGCACTTCAAAATATATGTTACTGATTGGTGAAAAAAATCAATAATAATAATAATAACTGAGATTCCTACGGACGAAGTTTCAGTTTACACAAACTCAGAAGGACCGATAATGTCACGTTTTTCAGATATCTTGCCTAAATTAAATGTTTCCCAGAGTTTTTTTTTGCCGCTTTCATGCATTTTCCCATCATTGGGCGGCGCTGAAGTCAGAAATAGTAATTTATAGTTGAAAACTCGTATATAAACCTCTAAACAAAGATGTAAGAGATAAAATAACAGGAATGTTGACAAAGGAAGTACTATTTTAAAAAATATACTCACCTCTCCAATCAGGCGACGGCCTGTTCACTGCGACAGATATTTAAAGTTTATTAGACATTTGACAGACAAATTAAAACTGTATAATCCAAAATTTAAAGTAATTAAGAAAACCAACTAGAGCATATTTAAAACATAACTCATTTATACATAATCTGCCCGGCTCTGTGTGTCATTTTTGGAGCATGCGAGGAAAACAACTTGGAGCTGATTCCATATTTTGCCAAGTACCTTGGCCTCCTCAACTATTTTCTTCTACTCAGGCTCATCCTCTGCCACTTCCCTCCAATGATTCATACTCAGTAACTTCGGGTGTTCCTCTACATCGTCTGTCCATCGTAGTCTGGCCCAGTCTCTCCCTCTTTCTCCATCTGGACGGCCTTTCATTATTTGTTTTGGAAGTCTTTTTTGATCCATCCGATAAACATTGCCCAGCTTATTCTCCCCTTTTTAATTTCTTCTTTGGTTGGCCCGTATATTCTTCTTTGGATATTTTTCTCACATGTACTCAGCGACATCTCTTGGTGCTTGATTAGGACGACAAAAAGGGGCTCAGCGTTCGGCAAGGGACACAACCTGTGTAAATTATATTGCTGAAAAATATCAATAAGACTTCGGATTTGGACTGTTACATATCGTTTAGATTGGGACTATAAAAAGGACAATATTGCAAAATGTGAGTAATGGATAGGACACTATTGCCTAAAGGTGCTGCAACTTTAGCGACAAGGTGGAGATGGGTAAATCTTGAATATACGATCATAAACTGGGTAAGGACGACTTTCTCTCCGCAAATGTTACGACTAGAGGAAATCCAAGTTCTAATATCTTTCTTTATAAGTTTGAGTTTGCTAAGACCAGTCTTATCCCACGTGTCCTGCTATTTCTTTTGGATATTCTCTTTAAGCGGACGTGAGAGATCCGATCCTGGAGTGAGAGTGTCTCTTTTGATCCTTTGTTGGCCATTTTATTCTCTTTGATACCGACATGTCCAGCTACGCATATGTGATCAACTGGTATTCTCTTATCATTATTAAATGTTCCTACTTCTATAATCCTTAGGATACCAGGATGATTGGAGTACAAGTTCGCTAATACTTTTTGACCATTTAATGAATGTGATGCAATTACTATACTTCTGACAGACAATGTAGACGAATCTTGAGCCATTGCAATGGCATTTACTTTGGCAGAGTAAATAATATTAAGTTAATGTAATTTCATTTTATGGGTGATATATTTAGTCGTAAAAGCTCAAGAAGTTGCAGAATCTGATTCGGATCCATCAGTGAACATTAACCAAGGTTCTTGTAGTTTCTGAATTCAATATGGAAATCGATTTCTGAAATCAATCAGATGCCATTGTACTTTCTTTATGGAGTTTTGATAGTTGCAGATGTATTTGTGGCATAGGACCAGAGAGGTGTTTTATTTTCTGTTGGATTTACAGGTATAGTTTAGTGCAATTTTATTGAACAAAATGGGTTTTGAACTTTTCTGGTCAATCTTGGCTTGGTGGACATTCTGACCTCGCAAAATGTAATCTACGGTTTTTATTTCTTCTCTACGAACTTTTGGAAAAATCTGTAAGCTAAAACATGCGAATCGTGATATTAAAACCTTTAAGTTACTGAGAAGTTTTTATTATTATGCTGTTAACGAAAAAAACAAAAACAATAAAATGCTCAATGGAAGGTCATGTAATGCGTTATGTATAGCTTTTTGGGCTTACTCTAGAGTATCATAATTCTTTGTTAGATTGACTTTCAACTACATAATTATCAACAAGGATTGGGCATAATTCATGAACCTTTTTTGTATAGTATTTATAAAGAATCTTGTAGTCAAGTGAGATTTAGTAATAGTTGATAAGTTGACTCCTTTATTTCATTATGAGAAATTAATTATATTGATGAAATTGAAGCAAACCTGCTTCCTTTTTCTTGTATGTTTAGTGATGACAATAGAATAGAAAATGGAGAATAATTGGCTGATTATAAAGATGTCCATAATAAGAGGTGGTGAGCCAGTAAAGAATGTGCAACGGAGAATTGGAGTTGAAAAACAGTAGACTGAAGAATCATCAGAGAAAACATAAAGAATAGGAAAATGTTCAAATAAACTCGAAACATGAGGATGAGCCAGAAGCGGCAATGAGAAAATTGAGAACGTCGGCATGATATTAGACGAAGCAAAGAAGAAAGTGGTAAATGGGATTATAATATTGAACGACTTTCAAAACAATTACAACCTCCAGATAACTGAGGAAAGATCCTGGATGGAAAAAAGCTACCGTGCTGCCGTATTCTAGAAAGTGTGAGAAAAAAAATTAATTTGATTCATTAGGAATAAATAACATAAAAAGGGAAAAAAAAAGACCTCTAGTTTCATCGTTAGTGGATTTTTTCAAACAAGCGAATCACACGGTGACTAGAGTAAGCAGAAAGTTTCAAACGCTAAAATATCACCTCAAACACGATGAGGAGCGATTGTTCGTAACCAAGACAGATTTTTTACGCAGGTTCGACATAAAAATTGGATTTCATCCTTTCATGCATCTAAGAAAACCAAGAAGCTCGTGCCAGTGATGTAGAGTAAGGTTAGTAGGACGTCAAAGTAACAAAATTTCTACTTAACCTTATAGGCAATTCATTCATAAAGATCTTAATGTTCCATATGTATCCGATTTGGCCCAATCCAGATACTTAACAAACTTCAGAACCATCCGAACCCTCTTGTTTCAAACCTTGCTTCCTCCTCGATCTCTGATAATCCTCCGAGTTGTCTGAAAAAAAGGTGGCCTCGAGATCTTCTTGTGTAAATTAATTATTTGAGTGCTTCATTTTGTGTTATTATATACCTTTGTGCACATTTACTAGTTGTTTTTTTATTTTTTATACAGTTTCAAATATCATGAATGAATAAGAAAAAAAAAACCTTATAGGCATTAAAAGCGGGAGATGAAAACCGAGAGGATACTGTTTCTTCTATTAGTTGATCATTATTAACAAAGCTATTGGTCCTACTGAAATAAATTTCATTGATTCTAACTAACTAATATAAATTTTCTGATGTAGGTAAAAATCTGTAAGTTAAAATAAAATACCTGTAAGTTAAAATAATCTAAAGTACTATTTTTTTGAAATATGAAGAAACATTACATTGTGAAATTCGTCTTTGTCTTACGTCTACAAAAAAAAATTGAATAGAAAAGATGAAGTTTATAAAATAAAAATTATACATTTCTTTTCATCTCCTGAACATTTTTAGATTTTGTTCTTATAAGCTTTTGCAGTGTGGTTGTAAATATGTATTATTAGATCACGAGTTTGAAATAGATTTATATACAAATAAAAGACAGATTTAAAAAAGTAAAAAATATTTATTTAAAAAATACAACAAATATTATTTACAGAAATAAAAACAATATGATACACAAAGGTTACATTAAAACCTCATAAAATAACTAAATAAAATAGAACTCGAAGCTCATAGATTTATAATTAAATTGTATTAATGTCCTAGAGCTGCATGAGCGGCGGCTTTGTGAGCAAGGAAAGAACTGCCCAGACCATGAGAACTTCCGTATAGTCCAGAGCTGAAACCGCCTGCGTATAGTCCAGAACCGACACTACTGCCATATAGCCCGCTGCTGTACTGACCACCGCCAGAGATGATTCCAGATCCTAAACCATAGCCGGAGCCGAGACCATAGCCGGAGCCGAGTCCATAGCCGGATCCAAGACCAATGCCGGAACCAAGACCGATGCCAGAGCCATGTCCGATACCGGAACCAATGCCAATGCCGGAACCAACAGCTAAAGATATTGCTTTCATATAACTAATGTAAAAATATATCATTTTAAATATTAATGGTATTATACTTAAAGTAACTCTTACCGATAGGTGTGGCACCAACTGAAACAGGCACAGGCTGTGATACTGGAACAGGAACGTTAGTGACTACAGGTACTGGAACAGGAGATGGTACTGGAACAGGAAAGGGTCTAGATACTGGAACTGAAACTGGATGCGGAACTGGAACAGGTACAGGCCTTTCGATTGGTACGGGATAAGGCCTTTCTACAGGGACAGGAATAGGGCGGCTGACTGGAACAGGTACTGGCCTATCGACTGGAACTGGAACTGGGTGAGAAACTGGAACAGGAACTGGACGGTCCACAGGTACACTCACAGGATGAGGCACTGGATGAACACTGGTAACGTGTCTGACTCCTCCACCGTACCCAAGTCCAGAACCCAAACCTAATCCAGAACCCAAACCAAGTCCAGAACCCAAACCTAATCCAGAACCCAAACCAAGTCCAGAACCCAAACCAATGCCTGAACCCAAACCAGATCCAGAACCCAGACCAATACCAGAATTCAAGCCTATTCCTGAACCGATGCCAATTCCAGAGCCAATGCCGGAAACACCAATGCCTGAACCTATACTCGAGATGCCAACTCCTGATCCGTATCCAAGTCCTAGTCCTGATCCGTATCCATATCCCCCGCCATATCCATAACTTCCACCATATAGACCTGAACCTAATACTCCGCCTCCTAGGACTCCTCTCTTTTCATTCTTCTTTTTCTGTTCTTCTGCTAAACTACCAACCAATAAGCAGCAAAAGAACAGTAGTGTCTGTAAAAAAAAAAAAAAAAAAATGACGAATTTAAAAACAGAAACTGTTGAAAATATTTGCAATGATATATGAAAAAATTAACTTATACTAATACTCGAATTTTACTGAAAGCATCTTAGACTAAAACATGAAGTTATTAATTTGTTTTTCTTTTTTATGCGTAATTTTTCCGAAAATGTATATTTTCGAATATTATTAATTTTTGAAAACTAATAAATGAGGCGATATACTAAATAAGAAACGTTTACGGATTTCAATTGGAAGAATAACTTGTACAGCCTTCAACGCGGTTTTTTATTTTTTGCTGTATGTGCTCTATGTGCTAAGAGTTAAATTTAAGTTGAGGTAAATACTGCACACCAAAATACTGAACCCAATCAAACGAATCACAAAACTTTCCTAACCTATTTGCTTAGTGAAGTAACCCAGAAGGGTTGCTCTCAAGAAGATTTATAATTAATATGCAATAGTGATCTCAATGTGAAATATTTGGTGACTGCTGTGAATAAAAAAAAAACATACCTACAACACTTCCCACAAAATTGGAAGCTCAAATAAAGATTTTTGTTACCATTATGCCTAAATTTTATATTGTATATTTTATATTGTATATAAGAAAAGGATATAGTTTTCGGTGGAAACTACAATTTTGACGTAAGTTATCCATAATGCTATTAGCTCCATTTTTTTTTTCTTCTACAGAGAGTTGGACAGAAAAACAATTCAAACAAACTGAAAATTTCCGAATTTAGGGCACTTAAGATTTTATTGTTACTATAAAAACAAAGTGATGGGAGAATACCACTTTTGGTAGCTATATTTTCTTGGTTTATATGACATAAATAATGACCCTTGAAGATGATATTTTTTTAATTATAATTTTTGTTTATTCAATCTTTAGTTAAGCTCATAAATATTAATGAATAAATAAATATAAACTCATGCTTTATATTAAGTCAATTAATTAAAATATAAAATTCTAATCAGTTTTTGCGAGTTAAGACTGAATGGAACTGGTCTTCGAAGAGGTAAATTTACTTAAATCAATTTTTTTGGTAACTGAATTTGAGGTTTGAGGTTGTTAGCGACCAGTTTTGATTTAATTTGAATGAAAGTACATATAACGAGTGAGCTTATTAATAAATCTTTCGATAAATATAGATTCTATGAACGTCACTTTTATATTCTCTTGGGAGGTGAAAAGATTCTATCACAAATTTAAAAAACTAAAAGATTAGGACAATCTCAGCGCACTTACATATCCGTTCATCCTGATGTTTCCTGTTGGAGGTGTCCAAACGACTGATGGTACTGAAATCAAATTTGCCTTTTATATGTATCTCGAGTAGGTCTTGACATTTGCAAACGGGCGCTCGAACTCGCTGGCCCACCCTTACATAAAAGCTATCAAATAAAAATTACATAAACAGTATTCTGTAATATCCTAACGATAATTAAATTAAATCAAATATTCGTAAAATATAATATTTAAAAAAATTCAATGATTAAGATGATAATAACCTATTTGTTGCTTCAAGCTGATAAATATGTTGTTAACTGACAGATACTTATTAGATTTAATAACATAGAGGCCCATTGCTATAGTTTTGCTAATTTCTCCCTGATCATAGATTTTACTTTCACTTACCTATATTAAATATAAAGTAAAGGAAAGTATAGCGATCGTGAAAATTTTCGAATCTGAGTTCTCAACGGAAATACTCGTTTTGAGGTCCCCTTAGTCTAAATAACTAACTCCCACAAAATGGTCGGTGCGTGTATGTGCGCGCGCGTGAGTGAACATCTAGCTCAAAAACGAAAAGTCTTACGAAACTGAAAATACATATTTAAGTTAAGTATAGGTCTGGGATGTTACAGCAACTTTTTCGCCAAAATCCGCTAACCTGAAATGGCACTTTATATCAACTATGTTACACATTTTTACGATTTTCTCAAAAACTGCTCCAACTATTTTAATTAAATTCGGTGTAACAATGTATAATTAAGTGGTCTTTAATATCATTTAGGTTTTCATCCCCATTGATGTCGCTCAACAGGACTTAAATCTCAAGTGTTCAAAATTGCCTTTCTCTAAAATACCTTTAATTTGGTTTATTATAAAAAATTAATCATCTCACATTATTCAGAGTTACAAAAAAATGCTAAATATAACTTTTGAAAGAATTGTATTATTGAATAATAAAGAAAAAAGGAAAATTTGTATTTAGGTCGAAAATAAATCTCCGGAAATAATAGTAAAAATATATAGTATAATATATCATTGAAAAGCCAATAATTTTAGAAAGAAGAATATATAATATAGAAATTTGTAGAAGGTGATGTAGAGCTACGAAAAAATTATAAATAATAATTTCTGAAAACTAAAATTATTTAACGAAAACCGCATGTATCCAAGGAAATTAAATGAAATTTTCTTAAAAAAAAGTAATATTTTAAATTACGTTCAAGTTTGAAAAAAATATACAAAATTCACCGAATGAAGGCAAGGGAACTATTTAAAAAACTATTTCATTGTACTTGTGTGAAACAAGAAGTAATGTGATATGTTTATAATTTTAAATAAATTTACTCTTGTTTAAGAACTCTAGATCCGAATAATTAGATATCTATCGTTGGTTTATTCCCAAAGTTCATCATGTAACATTTTTGAAAATTAAATTAGTGAATAATTTGATGAATTTACCCTTTGTGAAACAACAACAATATCTACTTGTAATTAGTTTGGCAATTTTTTACATATCGATAGTAAGCAACGCAAATCTCGTAACACCGTGTTGTAAACTTTACAATGGAAAAATAAAAGTTTAATAACTTACAGTATCGCAATCCATAATCAATTATTGGTTTCATCATCGGCACTACATTAATGTAATTAATGTTAACCTGACCAAAGTTTGACATTCGTTACTTAAACATACTGCTGACGAAATATACAGATGTACTTTCAAATCTCTCAAGGCATATATAGCTCACAGATTGGAGTTATGTGGCTTACAAATACATATGTATTTACGAGGTTTAATTGCCTGTTGTCGATATAATAAATAACGTTTTGCCATTTTAATGGTCATAATTGTTAGCAGTAAGGTTTAAGCTTTAGCTCAGTTAAAATTGTACTTCAAAAATTTTCGTAACAGCCTGACATTACCAGAAAATAATCTCTATTCAGATTAAAGCGGTAAGTGAAAGTTGTGTAATGCACACACCAGATTTTTTTCTTTTGCAAAACGCTGCATAATTGTTGATCTAGTTTACAAACATGAATAACCACTACACAGTAACTACGATTATTGACCCATGCTTCTAAAACACACTTTTTAAATTTTTAAAAATCATTATTTAAACAAGTCTTATCTTAAAGATTTAAAATTTCAACATTTTTATTTTTTTAAAAATTAAAATATCGCCAAGTATTTTTGTCTAATTGATTTTTTTTTTTTAGTACCATGAGAGTACGCTGAGAAGGGCAGTGAGGGGCATTGGCCACCTCTCTAAATAATTTGAAAGAAAATAATACTTACAAAATTATTGCCAAAAATTCAAGAAAATTAATATTTAAAAATTGTTTTTTATTTATATATTTTACTCCATATAAAAATATTAATAAATTGTAATAATAATAAACATTTACGAAAAAAAAAATTTCCATCTTGCTTTCTCCCTAATATGAAAGCTGCGTATGCCCTTGTTCAGTACATAATGTATTATAAAATATTTTAGTATAAACAGGGTGTTTCACGGTTAAGTGACCAAGCTACAAAAATGAACTATATACCTCAAAACAAGAACAAATTTCGTTTTTTGACTTGCTCAATCATATCCTATATGACAATCAATGGATTGGCAGTGCAGGACCAGTGGCTTGGCCTGCACACTCTCTAGACCTGACACCACTGGAATTTTTTGTTTGGAGTGGTATTAAACAAAAAGTCTATGCAAATCCGGTCACTGACCTTAATTCCTTACGAAGAAGGATAATTGCATCTTCTGAAACTATAACACATATCCAGTGGCATTCTGCCACTGCTGCTGTTGAAGAAAGATGCTGGCTGGGTCTTTCTTAATGCTCCAGGAAATCACTTTCAACAACATTTAATATGAATGTTAATGCATACATTTAATTAATAAAGTAGTTAGAACAAATAATTAATAACAACCAAAATCTTTAGAATATCTCCTAAACAAAGCGTTTGCAGACATACCTTCAGTGGAAATTTTGTTCTTGTTTTGAGGTAGTTAATTCATTTTTGCAGTTTGTCACTTAACCCTGAATAATGTTTTTTAATTTTTTTTTCCTTTGAACGGGCTTTTTGATATGATTTGAAAAGTAAAATGAAAGAATAAAATTTGATATAAGTGAAGTGAAAAGTTGCAGAGTTTTTCAATATTTTCTGAGTGAGCATTAGATGTAAAACTATGATTTAGATACTTTGTCTAAACATACAATGAAAACAACAATACAAGAATATAAATAACTACTTATTTAAAATTGGATTTTTAACATTATAAACTTGAAATTAAAAGCTCTAGAAATTACTGGAATAAGTAAACTTTTTTTATATTGTAAATTCTTAAATTATAATGATTACTTGAACAAAAATGATATTAACAGTAAGAGCAAGACAAATTTTTATAAATATGTAAATGAACTTTAGATTTTTATAAAAAAAATAAATAAATTCAAAGGAAGAAGTATTTGCTTTTTTAACGAGTTTATTAGAAATTTTCGAGAAATCTTTAAATAAATTTAAAGGAAAAAGTATTTGCTTTTTTTAACGAGTTTATTTGAAATTCTCAAGAAATCTCATAGTAAGGGTGTACAATGCTATGATAAAGCCACATTTAACATATGACTGTGAGACCTGGACACTAACCAGCATCCTAGAAAAAAGTTTTGAAAGATAAATCCTCCACACGATAACCGGAGCGAACTGAAATCAGAGCAGAGCACTAACACATGGGGAAGAAAGACCAATAAAGAACTGCTTACAGAAACTTGTAAATCAATATCCCATGATATGAAGGCACGGAGGTTAAGTTGGGCAGTGCATGTAGCTCGTAACACTCCGTTTGGAAGCCTCTGCGTAACAATGAATGCCTGAATAGAAGACAAAAGACCATGTGGAAGGCCAAAAAGCAGATGGATAGATAGAATCAGCAAAGATTCAATAGAGCTGCATGTAAATAAGTGGGAAGAAATAGCCTAAGACAGGCAGAAATGGAGCAGGCTTGTTAAGGCAACAAAAGAAATACATGGTATGTAACACACGAAAAAAAAATTAGATTCCATTTTTATAATTTTAGCTATTACTGGTAATAATTGGTGTGTCTTCATTTTGTAAAAACATATAAGAACACGTATCTCTATCACTTTATTTCCCATAACATAATCGGTTTTAACAATTACAAATAATGAATACTTTAAAAAACATAATGAAAATAGCTTCATGGTTGTACAGTGTTTAACCGTGAATATAAGGAAAGTCTTCAAGGACACAAGACAACAGATACTAAATCCACTTCTCTACTAATAGAAACTACAAATCATGTAAGTAGAAAATAAACTTCAGAAATGATATTACTTACAAGAAAGACACCATTCATAGTATAAACATTAGATTACAGTTCAGAATTAAGCTTGTGGAATGTCATTGCAGTAAACTCTTACTGAGTTGTTTTAAAACAGGAAAGCAATCATCTTTTCAAAATGATGTACAAGGGCTGAGGATTATGAAAGATATTTAAGGAAAAGACTTAGAAACATTTAAAAGAAAGTACTATGAAAATACATAACAAAAATTCATCATATTGGTGATTGAGGAAAGAACTAGAAGAAAGTGGTTTACTACGGTAGGATAAGCATCATCAATGTATTCTGCTATGCTATTATTAATAACTTACAACTTATTAAAAATAAATATAGTTTTAAAAATATAACAGACTGTAGATAGAAGCCCATCACTACTTCTAAACATCTTTTTTCCATCACTAGCCATACAACTAAAATGAGATCAGTAAATAATAAATATTTAAAAAGAAACAAAACTGTATATTTCCTTTAGCATTTTCCTTGATTCAGTATCATATAGGCTAGCGATTTCTAAATTTTATTGATCTTTGGACTTCACCGACTCCTCCATTAACATTAAGTTCCAAAAGAGAAGACATAGACATTTGGCACCTCTTTACAATGAAATCATCACCAAAAATATTTTAAATTTATTTCTTAAGCAGTTTTATATTATATTT